CATGTTTAGAGCCGAGGAAAACACTGGGGACAGACGCTGATCTCAACAAAACCGGATGATGTACGGTCTCCTCTCTCTCTCCTCAAAACAAACAGTACAGGAGAAGCTAAAATACACACCTAGAAACTTCCATTCTAACTCTTTTCAGCCTCACTAACTGAATTGTCCATTCAACATAAAAAAACCCAAAAAAAAACAAGTTGTGAAATTTAATTCATATAGAGACATCATTTATGTAACGTCTAATTTCAAGTTTGAGCATTTGGTTCCCTTTGAATAAGAGGCTGAAGTTCGGACCTGTTCAGATTCGAATCTCAAGCCCCCTGTTTGCAGACCAATTAACAGTGTCATACGAGTAAGTAAAAAACACCAACAAACAAAACCAACTCTCTTTGGCATGCCATTGTTTTGTTTTTCTCCTCCCCTTCTCTGACTGACCACCACACGACCATGCCCACTTTTTCAACGCCCAGAACAGGACAATGTTCACATCGCATAAAACTTTTGTTTTCAAAATGAACCCGCCCAACCTAACAAAAAACAAAAAAACAACACCCCCCAAAAAAAAATTCAATTTGAGTACTGCAAAACACATTTTTTTAAACAGTTTCATGGAAATGGAAACTGTCCAAACATTTGTACAAAAATAACTAAACCCCTCTATGCACAATATAAAAGAGATGGATAGTCGAATAAAAGGTGGAAGTGAAAACAGAAACACATCCACTTCTCATCTGTGTATTTTTCCCCGTACTTCACGGCTGAGCCATTTGATGAACAAAGCCGGGCAACAAAATCACACATTCAAGAAAGGCTCCAACTCGAGTCACCAGCCCCCAAAAAAGAGGCCTCAATCACCACGACGTAACAATGAGATGAAAACAAAGTCTTATTGACTACTGGGCCCCCATTACAAATTTCACAATGCCAAAGAACAAAGGCCTGCCTGCAGTCATATGTCCCTACCTACTTATTCTTTTGAAGAACCACCTGATCTTCTGCATCTATGCTATTAACATCAATTACGTAAAATCTGCACTCTTCCACATTAAACCTAACTGAAAAATTGCATTAACTTGCCCCTACTTTTTTGGCTGACAGCGTTACTGCCAAGCACTTTTCATGGAATTTCACCCGAAAAAGAAATTTGATATTGAAAGGCAAGCTATGCCTCTCTAGATAACCCCCTGACGTTTATATAAATCTGTAATTATTTGCAGAGTATTAATAGATACCACTCTGATCATGACACAATCAATGCTCCATACCTCAAGATAATCAGGAGTAGAAAGCAGTACGTGAATAATAAATACCAGCTGTGCATCATGGCAAATACCAACAGAGTATTTTTGACAATCATAATAATTATAAACTCACATAAGCAGGGTTCATACTGAGCAGGAGATTTTTTGTTCCAAGACTTTTCCAAGAGTTCTCAAGACCAGATTAATTTTTTTCAAGACAAATAATGTGTCATTTCTGAAGAAATTTTTTTCGTTCAACATGCATAAGTACATTATTGAACACTTCAGAATGGGTAAAATCGAGTCCTTCTAAACTTCACGGAAATATTTTTACAACAGATCAAGTTTAAAATTTGTTTGTCCCAAAACTTTTCAAAGAATTTTGCCAATTTCCCAAAATTACAAGTTTTCCATGTCTAGGAAAATAAAAACAAAATTTCTAGTTTTCCAAGACCCATAGGAACCCTGCATAAGTACTTGCCATGTGAGCAGTAATCAAACCTCAATGTGTATCCATAGCATTGGAAATTCATAACCTATGTTGTCTACAAGCTCCCATAGATCACAACTAATGCATCTACCAACAACCACTTGGAATCTATAGACAACAAGCACTTTGTCTATGGCAAACTATTGTGTGTCCCAAAGGTCAGTCACTAAGACACTTTTTATCAATATATTACAGTACACCTTCTAGTTCACATCTCCAGTCCTGGAGACTTTACATATTTGCAACTTATCAACATCATCCTCAACAAACATAAAACCTTCTTACACTGCATCTCATCTCTTAGACTAACTGAATGCATTCCCAACAGCTATCGTTAAACCTGTACACATGTACATGTACATTATGTCAAAAACATATACACCCAGCCATAGAGGGCAAAAAATGAGAACATGATGATGGGAGCACACAACTGGCACTAGTAGCACACCACAAGACAAACACAGTCGTGTCATGATAACACACCCACACTGACACACGTGCATGCACACACCCACACACACAGAGTTGAAAAACAGGTATCAGTACAGCAACAGGTATCAGTACAGCGCTGCCTCCCCCAGACTCAGGCTGGTTTTGGCACTCAGGGACAACAGCGACACAATGGTGGTGGTGGTGAGGGGGGCGAGGGGGGGTCCGGTACAGAATCAAACGGGATATGGATTAGCTGCCTCAGAAATCTGGACATTGGAGTACAGTAAAGTTAATAGTTTGCATCATCATCATCACACAATCAGAAAACGTTTAATTAAATTTTTTTTGGGGGAGGTGCAAACCTACACACGTACATGCAGCAGCGCACAGCACACGCAAACACATTATCATAGAAGTAAAACATAGTGCGCGCACACCCACGCAAAGCACAGCAGTCAGTCCGAGAGAACCAGCTCACATGGCACTGGCAAAGGCATCAGAAAGATTTTCACCACTCAGATCTCAGGCTAACACAAGAGAATAACAACCAGAAGTATTATGACCAGTCTCAAGGCATTGACGTTTCAAGAAGAAAAAAAAAAAAATCGAAGCTCAGTCCAAGCAAGAATCACACAAACTATCTTACAAATATTCTTTAAAAAAAACAAAGAACAAATTAGGACCAGACTCGCATTGCACATTCTCTTTTTGAAAAAGTTTAAGGAACTGCCTCTCATTGAGATACTCCTAGCGCTCATATGACCGCAGGCAGCTGCAAGCGCAGTAAAAAAAACACTACAAAAACTAAAAATGAGATACTCTTTTTATTTTCAAAGGAAATTCACCATGAACTACGTTTCTCATGAGCATGACAAAGTAGGGAAACATTTGATAAAAAATCTATAATGGCAACTAAACAACCCACCAACCCCTTTTCTTATCTGAAAAAGCTTACGATCCAAGTCAGTTACAATATCCTCTACTTGAAGCAAACATTTTAAAGATTTTTGGAATATCCTCACATTTTCCCATAGGAGCAAAACATCCTTAAAAACGTCACTGGTTAAGACAGATATCAAAATGGTTCCAAATACATAAGAAAAGCTGAGAGCTCGCAAGTCCAGAGGGTACCACCTGCTATCTTTTCACTGTGAGAGGAAGCATTATAAAGTGCATACACACATAAACCTACGTATTTCTCTCAATCTTCTACTTATGTCTTGTCTATTTGGCGGAGCTAGTAGATGCCAGAGACTGATATTATTAGTCATCTTGAGCTACATGTAAATAAAAAAAGTATGAAGACCACAAAAGAAAGAAGAGGGGAAAAAGGGTTTAACCTACAAATCACTTTCCACTCTTCTTTTATTTATGACTCTTTATACCAAAATGGGCCGTTCAATCTTGAACAAAAATCTGAAATTGCTCTTTTAAGCACAGAAAATTTCCACCTCTCCTAAAAACTCAATGTCTTCCAGGCAAAACACCTTCATACACATATGGACACCAAATGTGAGAAGATCCATTTTAAATAATGGTCAGATAAATAGCCAAGAACTAAAAACATCTGCAAAGCCTATCCAGAACTAATAACTGTTTGCAAACCTAAATTCCCAAAAGTAAACGACAGTCCACATGTGTAGTTAAAAACATAGTACCCTTCATATGGGGGGAAAAAGAGAGACGTACCACAGAAGGGATCCAAACAAAATGCTTTTCTCTGAATCTTCAGAAGTCAGAATTTTGAAATATTATTATAGGTTAAGCCCATAGAATTGCTGTTGAGCGGGAATATGCCCTCTATACAAATGCTATTTGAGATTATTATTAAATCTTTCATCAGTATAAGCAGGACATACAACTAGCCAAAAAGTACACCTCAATACAATAATTTTTTGTTGTTGTTGTTAAATCCCCCTTTTAAAAGAATTAGACACTGCCATTTCCTCGAAGGAGTACTTGGCCTGTCAAACAGGGCACCGAGCTCAATTGACTTGCAGAGCTTAAGAGAAATTCCTTCCTCACTCTAAGCCAGGGGTCTCAAACTCACAGCCTTCGGGGGCACATGGAGGCACGCAGGACTATGTTCTACCGTCCCCTACTTTGAAATAAAAATTTAATGTTAGTGTGGCCCTCCCTTGAGTCAAAAGTGGTTATGTAAATGTAAGAGGCAGCGCTGATAGTTCCTGGGCAGCAAGAAGCAGGGAAGAGAAGCCTGTTTTCAGACGAAATCTTCCAAGTTCTGAACTGCCATTAATAAAGACTGAGAATATTAAACCACTTGTACTTTTAAAAAAATACTAATAATAAT